TAAGTTTTTGTTTATAGATAAGAAATGAGATATGGGATGAAGAGATCCTTTGTTATATTTTAAAAGAAGGTGATAAGTTACTAAAATCATTTATACTTGTTTTGATGAAGTCTTTTCTTTATATATTTTTCTTTTTCTTTACTATATTATTATTTTTTTTCTTTTTATTCTTTCTTCTTTTCTGCACTTTCTATTTTTGTACTCTTATTTTTTTAGTTTGTATTTTTTCAATTGTAATGTCTAATAAAATTATTACAAAGACTTGGGAACAAAGGCAACTTAAGAGATTGTAAGCAAATCTGAATCTCACAGAACTGACTTCTTGGCTAATGTGCTTGGCTAATTAGCTAATTGCTAATGTACAATCTTAAGTTAAGATTGTAACTTAAGAGGAAAAAAAGTAATTCCAAGTCCCACTGAAACTTTTCTTCACAAGGCATACCCATGTATATTTATACTCTCTGTGTAATGTTTCTAATAGTTAAGTACAGCTTACTACATTGTTAATACTGGGGAATGGGACATATTGCTTGCATTCCTCTGAATGGAAAATGAGAAAAGTGTGGGAAAGCAAACTGGAAAAAGATCCATACTACTCAGAATCAGCCTAAGCTCACAGTCCCTCACCCAAATCTCATGATTCCACCCAAAAGTCTAACTCCAACTGAGAAAAGCCAAAACAAATTCCTTCATACAAATGAAGAACACCTTTCAGATTGAGAGGAAGAGCTTACCAGCAGCTGCTATTCCAAGGAAAACTGAGGCTGTGTAGAAACTCCAAGTAGAAGGTTGGATAAAAACAGCAATATATAAGCTGAAAAGAAAACAGTTTTAATATGCATGATGCCATGCTCATGGTTCTTTGTAAAATAATTTCTATCACTAGTTGGGAGTTATCTGTACTTGATAATTTTCATTTGCTGTTACCTCTGCCAATTAATTCTGAATCCTATCTTATCTGCTTACCAGATATTTCATTATCTAGATCAATTTTTTATTCCTACTTAAATTGCCAAAAAAGAAACCCTGGGGAGACAGCATATTTGAAATAAAAATATTCATTACACTGAAACACATGACGCATTATCTTAAGAATACAATCATTATTATTTTGTTACTTAGTTTCCCACTGTTTCCACAAGAAACTCAAAGTAGATTTTTATATCCACAGGCCTTGGGAAGTTAATTTAAACTGAGAACAATGAGTCCCCAATGAGTTTAATGGCTGAATAGTGATCTGAATCTGGGTTTCTTCTTTTCAAAGCCAAAAATATTTTTAATTCTCCTTCCTCCTATCACTTTACTCCAAATTTAAGTAATTCTAACACCAGCTACTAGAACAGCAGTAGTTATATCATACATTCCCCGCTAGTCAATTATGTACAAAACAACAGCAGTCTTCTAGTGCAGGTAAGTAAAAGTCATCACAAATTAAATATCAGGAATTGAAGCAATTTTACTTACCTATAGAAGATACCACTAATGAACATGGAGAGTTGCGGTCCTATGATTGCAACCACTGAAGGTGAAATTATATTTGATGCTGAAAATACTCCATAAATAACAGCCATACTGCACAAAGCAATAACAATGATTATCAAATAATTAATATGTTTTGAAAACTAAGAGAACAATCAGGAGCAACTTTTTTTTTTAAATTCAGGTAAAGGTATACAAGATAAATCTGTCAATGTACACACTTTGTTTATGTATATATCCACAACAATTTTTCAGGCACCATGGTACTACCGCACTGCTACACTACATCCACACAGGTATCTGCTAAAATTATTTTACATGAAGATGCAAGAGTGCTACCTTCTTTTGCATCTCCCCCCCAATCCAAATTTTACCCATGGGGATTATGTTGTCTGTATGTTTATTTTAGATTGTTTTCCTTTGGAGATGAGATTTCAGAGATAAGTGTCCTGTTTTTAGCTTTAATAAAAAGAATAAAGTAAAAAATAGTTAAGTACAGCATGTAATAACAGGGTGAGGTCACAAAAGATAGTAAAAGTTTTTAACTACAGTTAAACTAACTGTAATTCCCCCAGATCTCCAAATGGAAGTTCCTTTAAACTAGATTTAGTGAAAACAAGCCAAAATCACTATATTGTTCCTCAGCCTGTCTTATTCAAATCATAGTTTGAACTTCACTGGGATCTTTGCTTAATTTACAACTGAAGCAAGAATTTCTGAGCACACAAAAGAGGTAGATAAGGGGGAACTGGTAAGTCTATTGTGCCTCATTCTCATAAGATGAATTCTCCTATTCCATTATACTTGAACCCAGTCATAAAATGTAGCTCAAAAGCAACAAGTTAAAAAGACCAGCATAAAGTACCTTGTGTAGCCACTTCCATGAAAATCAGTATGGTTTAAATTTGTAATAACAGTTTGCTGTAATACAAATAAATTAAATTGTTAATGATATGAACTATTATCCAGATTGGTTTTAAAATACATAACAGACCTGCAAGGCAGTATAAATACAAATATTAAACATGCCTGTTTACAGTTACTTGGACAAAGTTCATAGAGGACTTTCACAATTAATAACCTAAGTAAATCAGTTGTCTTAACATTGAATTTGCCATGGAGAAAGATACATTAGAAAGTAAAAAAAAGTCAAAATCTAACCACATGTTTTAAATCCACTTTCCTTCTGTTAAGGGCAAAATGTATACTGCTTGGTAAAGAGGTGTGCCCAAATTTGCATTTACCTCCAGAAGATAAAGTGAGGAGCATCTGTAGCAGAGACTGGGATGTGGGAAGTAGCACAGTAAATCCCTAGTTTTTGGTATAGCAAGTTGATCCTATGCTGAGAGATCTGACAGACAAAAATTTTTTTTTTTTTTTTTGGTTTCCATATCACCCCCCCTCAAAAAAAAGCTTCTTACCTAAAATCCTTTTTTTTAATACAATGGCACAGCTGGTAAAACTAGACTATGCCTTTATCATTCCATCATTAGACGGTAAGTCCAACTTTTAGATAATCTTCTGATTTATTGGCTAGACCCAGGACATTAGAGATGGCACATTTAGCCTGACTGTGCAAAGCCAAGGCTGGCCTTCCCTTATCCTCCATATTGCTCAAGACGAAAAGGAAAAAGAAGAACAAAGAGGGCTGCCTAAAAACATCTAAGCAGGAGGCCCAAGTATTCTCTTTCCAATCACAATTCCTCTGCAGATAACTAGAAACCAAAAGTTTATCCAAGCATGTAATAAGTAACGAGCCAAGCTGGCTGTATCAGTTTTATTTAGGATTCTGTGGTGACTGTTGCTTTTCCTCATTTGCCTTTCTTCCCCTTTCCCCAATAAGCTCCTTTTATATGTAGAGATCTGGCTTCCTTGTTTTAATAAGGGAATTCCTCATTAAAACCTTTCCCATATGCAAGATTGTACAATTAACTCCTGTGTTTCAGGATTGGCATAATGTTGTTAAGATCTGAATCTCTGGGCTAAAAGTTAGAAGATTCAAAGCATATTCTTTTTTATTTTCCTAGAACTAGACTGAAAGGAGAAGACTTTGGTAGAATAACTAAAAAGTTTCCAGATGGATAGACTTGGGTGTATCAGAGTATTTAGCATGACTGGTGGCAATTGATCCTAACATTTTTTAGCGGGAACCCAAAATAGAAATGGCCTTCCAGGTGGCTTGAATTACTATTTCGCCTAGCACAAAGGAAAGAAGACTCTGTTTTAAAATTATGCTTTCCTGGCAATCAGAAAATTCCGTATGTTGCAATAACAGATAAAAGAAATGAAGAGAAAAGGATTGCAAACATTGAGAGACAACAGTATTAAATTCTGAAATATCAATTTTTCTGTTGCATCAAGACAATCATATGCTTTTTTAACTTGAAAGCAAGTACATATGTTTAACATTGCAGTTTAATCACATTCAAAACAATGAAATAAACTACAGGTATATAAAGAAGTAAATTGCTTCAGCAATAACTCTAAATCAAGTGATAGAAAAAGAAATAACAATAGGGCAAAACAGCTCCAAAGGAAAATAGACATTTAGACAGAAGTGACATGAAGCCAATCAGTGCACATAGGGAAAAGAAGCATTTGCTCTTACCGCTATATTTCCACATGTTTGGAAAGCAGTGAACATAAACATGAATGCTATTCCTAAAACAACGATGTTCAATTGTTTTTTTAATTCAGAATTCATCTTGTATTTTATCAGAATGCTGTCAGACTAAATATAGGGAAGCATCTGTCTTTCAAGCTTCTTCCTTTTTTTAAATTTCTGAGAAAGGAACAAAAAACACAAACTCTGCATTACTGAATTAACAATAGTTTTCTGACAAAACAAAGCAGGAACAAAATACCAGCCAATAGGATTTAAAGATTATCAAGAGTCTTTACCTTTCAAATGCAGAACAGCAGCAGATTCTCCACAAAAAAGAAACATTCTGCTCCTGATCTTCACTTATTACCATGTAATGGAATCATGGATTTTGACCAGAATACCACTTAGCTGATAAAAGGAACAGCTACAGATATTATTTCCATTCATGCTAGACAGGAAATAAAGAAGAGTTTACAAATCAAGTCAGCTGATCAAATGAGCAAAAAAACCCCAACCCTGATGAATTCTGGGAAATGCAGTTCAAAGAGCTATACACTACAGAAAAGCATGAACAAAATACTGTACGATGTCATTGCTGTACATTGTGTTTTTTTCATTTGCCAGGACATTTTGAGAAAAGCTTGTTCTCAATCATCTGCTATTTGATAAAGGGAAATATGAATTGATTTGAATCATTATGGAACCTCAGCTTGAAAATCAGAATGAGTACACCACAAATTCATACACATCTTCTAAGTCCCATTGAATTAAATGGGATCTATACAGCTTCACTTTTATGATGGCACTTGCAACCTGTATCTCTGAGAACATAGTTTTAATTTATTGCAGATGCTCTGATTACAGCTCACATCATCCAGTAACATTCAAGGAAACTATGTGGTAACTATGAATAGTTGTATAGTAACTATGTTTCTTACAACCACTAGTAAAGAATAGTGTTTTTAAAACGTTTCCCACACATAAAAATCTTTGTTTCAAGGAGAGAATTCTGCATGATATGCTAATTGTCTAAATATAAAAAGCTTTTAGTGGGTATTTCAATCAGTCCACTTCATATTGTTTGAAATTTTATACCCTGATAGAAAATTATATCATTAAACTCAGATACAGAATAGTAATAGTAGTTCTGGTTAAGACCTGGACTAAGAAAATGCAGGAACAGAGGCCCACTTGATCACAGAGCTCAGAGAGTGATTTTGAGCCACCATCTCTCAGTTCAGTTTAACTCACAAGATTGTGAGGGTGAAGTCAATAAGCCACCTTGAGCTCCTTGAAGAAAAGCAGGCTAGAAATGCAGAAAATAATAAACAAGTAACTAAATTTTATACAAGGATTGTTTATCAAGAGAAGTTACACAATATCATCTGCATTATAAACAAAAAATACAGCAAATGTATCCACAGGTGCCTGTGGCCAGAGAATCAGGTTATAAATAATAAAAATAAAATTGTATAATAATGAGTATAAGCCCCCCAATCAAAATGTTACTATCATGGAGCCATTAAAATAATGCAGTTCTGGTCAAGAAAAAAAAGGTAACATTCCTAGATACATATATCCTCATCTTAATATATAAGGCAAACATCATGCGAAATCCAATTAGATTGTGTTTGCGGTTTCATTTCAAATTTTCAATTTCCAAATGTGAGGTTCAATATTAACAAGATATACCCATTTTATAAGCTACTGTAGCCAGTTAACAGTAACAAAGTAACTAAGATAACACCTACATCTGAATAACATTTATTTTAAGGTGGGCATTCAAGATTATTAGTCAATGTTATAGACTATAATCAAAATAAGGGCAGCCTTTCCCAATATTATGAATATTTCCTATACTGGTTTTAGAATTCTGAAAGATGTATTAAGAAGTTACCCTGAACATAGTGTGGGGTATTTTCAAGAAAATATACATGGACCTTGCACTCATTTACTTTCTCCATTATGGACTATGGAGGCTTGCTTGTGTTGATAATGTGCACTCCTTCTACATTATCCCACTGCATTAGAAATTACTTTATTAATCTACTTTTGAACTCAACATTAGTTCAAATAGACTAAAACTAAATCTCCCATAAAGATTTTGGCGACAATAGAGCAAATCATGCTGAATAAGAATAGTATACTTTGATTCAGCAGAAGATTCACAAAGAGCAGAATGTTACCTATGCATCAGCCTGGGAAGCATTCTTTTAAAGCATGTCCCTCATTTTTATGTATTGCTCCTATTCTAGTTCATTATTATTCCATAAATCAAACTTAATGTTTTTTATGTTTTACTAATTCAAATAAACACTTCTAAATATTCACTGAGAGAAATTCACTAATAAATATTTTCAAATATCTTATTTTGTCCTGATTTAAAAATAATGCCTTGTTAACTCACATTGCCCCAAGAAAATATTTTCACATTAGTTTAATTCTAACCACATTAGTTCAGTGTACTGGTAAACCTCTAACCTCAGTTTTGTGGCCAAAGGACTGGTAAAGATCGATTTATATTCCAACAGAAAAAAAAGACAGTGCTAAAGAATGCTCAAACTAGCAAACAACCACACAATTGTTGCTAACTGCTACATTGCTAACACTCAATATTTAACAATCCAGAGTTCAGTAATGCTTGGAGTTGCCAGATGTGCAAGTTGAATTCAAAAGAGGCAGGGACCAGAGATCATAATGCCAACTAAAGAATTTATATGATGACTAGGAAAACTACAATTAGAACAGAAGCCACTAAATGGTTCAAAATTGGGAGAGGAATGCACCAAGGCTCTAGAATATGCTGGACTAAAAGAAATAGAAACTGGAAATAAAACTGCTGAGAGAAACATCAACCAACCTCAGATACGGTGATACTACTTTGATCGCTGGAAACAAAAAATTCATAAGAAAACCTGTTGAAGATAAAGAGAGTGCAAAAGCCAATCTGCTGCTTAACATTAAAAAAAAATACTAAGATTATGTCAACAACCAATGCCCCCCCACTACTAGGAAATCCCATCTAAGAGGATGTAAGTTAGGTTGGGGGAAAAGCCTACCCACAAGTAGGAAACAGCAAACTATTTTGTATCATTTCCAGAAAACAAGAGGCAAGCTTGTCTCACACAAATACTATCTTTTTATACCTCCTCCAAAAACATTGCATAGTATCCATTCCCTGGAGTAAACGTACAAGAAAAAAGAGCCAGTTTGGTCTAGTGGTTAGGCTAGAAACCAGGAGACTGTGAGTTCAAGTCCCACCTTAAGCATGAGACCCGGATGGGTGACTTTGAGCCACTCTCTCACAGCCCAACTCACCTCACAAGCTTGCTGTTGTGAGATAAATAGGAGGAATAATAAAGGATTTTAAAAAATCTAAAAAAAAAAAACTACACAGCACAACGTCCTTTTCTCATTTTAAATAAGTTTCCCTGACCCACAGATGATGGCTTAATATCCAGCCTGATAATGAGCTCTGAAGATATTAGCATGGTGCTTTTACTACTGTACTCATTCTTTGTTTCATTTTCCTACGTCTAGGATCTTTTAACAGCCAGAAGAGCTGCCACTATACTGCAAGAGCAGCCAATAGAGGCTACCCCAAAGCAAGAGAAATATCACCCTTGAAAGAAAAACACCCCGACTCTCATTCAACATGAACCACAGCAAGCGAAGCAGCCATAACCCTTCCCGCCCAGCCACCCCCTCCTTCTCGCGCTTCTTCGCTCGTTTCGTTTCGCGCGCCCCAGTTACACGTTACGCGCGCGCTCCCGCACTCAATTAGTCAGCTTCCTCTCAAGCTTGGCCGCCATTTTAAAGACCGAGCTTCTTGTCTTTTAGCAAGTATTTACGACGCAAAACACTTAACGGTTTTAAAAATCGACACGTTGACTGAATTATAATGAATGCAGTCTGTTACATCTTTTTCAGAATTGCAATTTTGAGGGGAAATTAACGCTCCGCGGCCTTCCATGTGAGAAGCGTAAACAATCGCTTCCGGGTTCCGCATTAACGGCAGATAAGCGTTCGAAGCCGATAACGAGCCTATCATTTCCTTTTCTTTTTGGTTGGATGTTAGTCGCTCTTATCAGTGCCCTTTAATATCTTCTTTTTCCTTTGGCGCAACAAAAATCGAATATAATTTGAATGGCTTAGAGTCCAACGGAGGGGGCGCGGGTAGAATCGAGAACTGCTTCCGGGCCAGTGGCGGCCATTTTGTGGCGCTTAAATGCTCGAGGAAGGGCGGTACCTCGTTCACTTGGTCGTGGCGGTGGTCGGAGGTGGTGGCTCGTGAGTGAGGTGTGCTCTGTACGCCTCAGCCCGAAGTCGACGGCCGGGCTGTGATAACGTAAGCCTAACACAGCAAGCGTTTCTGTATCCTTAGGGACGGTTTGCCCGCTCCTCCTGCGTCTTTACGCCTTTTTCCGCCCTCCACCATGAGTTACGGGCGACCGCCGCCGGACGTGGAAGGCATGACCTCCCTGAAGGTGGACAACCTGACATACCGTACTTCGCCAGACACGCTCCGCCGCGTCTTCGAGAAGTACGGCCGCGTGGGGGATGTCTATATTCCCCGCGATCGCTACACCAAGGAGAGTCGTGGGTTCGCTTTCGTGCGTTTCCACGACAAGCGCGACGCGGAAGACGCCATGGACGCCATGGACGGAGCCGTGCTCGACGGGCGCGAATTGCGCGTCCAGATGGCCCGCTACGGCCGACCGCCGGATTCCCACCATAGCCGACGAGGGCCTCCTCCGCGCCGGTACGGAAGCGGCGGCTACGGACGTCGCAGCAGAAGGTGAGATTGAGGGAGAGGGCCCGACGGGCAGAGGAAAGGTCGATTGGTTCCTCCTAGGAAAAGACTTAAACGGGATGAGGCATAAGGTAGAAAAAAAGGGCCCGGGGCAATATGATAGCGTACTGGTCGGGGAAGGTCGGCGGGAAAGTGAGAGCCACGTGATACTGGAGGGGCGGCGGGTCGAGATTTATGCCGTTGGCGCGGTGAGTGAACTCGAAAGAGAGTGCGCGACTTTCTGGATATTTTCCAACCGCCCGTCTCTCTTTCTCTTCCACGCAGTCCCAGAAGGCGGCGTCGCAGCCGATCCCGAAGCAGGAGCCGATCCAGATCTCGTAGCAGATCGCGCTACAGCCGTTCCAAATCGAGATCCCGCACGCGATCCCGCTCTCGTTCTACTTCCAAGTCCAGGTCGGCCAGGAGGTCGAAGTCCAAGTCTTCATCTGTGTCCAGATCTCGTTCCCGATCGAGATCCAGGTCCAAATCCAGAAGCCCTCCACCTGTCTCCAAGAGGGAATCGAAATCAAGATCCCGTTCTAAGAGCCCTCCTAAATCTCCTGAAGAGGAAGGTGCTGTGTCATCTTAAGAAAACGGTAAAGTATCAGGTATTCTACTGAAGTTGCATGCTTTATTGTAGAAAAATAGTAGGCACTGGGATCTTAAGCATTCTAGAGTAAGGAAATGGGGCATGTTCATTTCTGAAGAGGGTGTTTTAATTTACAGCTAATAAAAGGCATCTTCATGTTTTGTTGCAATTAATAGCTTGCTTTTTAATATCTATTGTTTGAGACGCAACCTATTTCTGAAATGACTATTTTCTTACTGTTCTTATCCAACATCTGCATTTTCCCCTTTAAAGCTGCGGTCTCCTGTTTGCTTAAAGAATATTGGCCAGTATTGCAGATTTTAACTGATTTGGCTGATCCTCCAGGGACCAGTTTCTGTGGGCGTGTATTGGAGCAGGTTTGTCTTTAAATGTTAAAGATACACTATCCTATTAAGAATCTGTTCTATGGATACAGTTCTCAACAGCAACACTTTTAGAAGTGAAATGCAAAAGTTGGTAGAAACCAGTTTCTTCAGTGCAATTGTGGGCTTATAAGCATATGCTGGGTGGGAAAATGGATAGTGTGTCTTTAACCTCCCTCAAATTGTTTGGTCCTGTTTTTTCAAATGAAGGGGGCCTAGAACTGTTAAGGTTAATGACTAATAACACATCAAGGTTTTGAATAAGGATGAATGCATAATTAATATGAATCAGGTTGGATTTGGATTAGGGGTGGTTGTTCATAAATGTGTAGTGGTTAGTGGAGAGATCGGACAACATTTCCAAAAATCTCATGATGGCTACGTTAGTATCAAATGTGATGGTGGGAGGGAGACATACATGCTTTGAAACATGTTAAAAAGACCAATACCAGTAGGTATTTAAAAGCATCCATAAACTACAGGATACATACAAGGAGTACCCTTCCTAAGCATTACCTTTTTCAAATCTAGATACTGCAAATAGATGAGAAGTCTACATAAAGGATGCCTTTGGAGGAGAAATGATCATATGAATTGCCAGTCCTTTGGAGAGACTCCTGCACAAGCAACCGGCTGTTGAAAAGGTTATTTTGTAACACTTTGTCTAACTTTTTACTTTACGTTTTTGAGCCTCAAATGGCAGACTTTTACTTTTATGTGCCATTTTGTTGCTATTATTCAAATTTCTTGTAATTTAGTGATGTGAACGACTACAGATTTCATTATTGGCTTGGATATTTGAGGTAAAACTTCATTTTTGTTCATATAGTGCTGACTCGTTTGCAAATTAAACTGATAACTAACATGCTGCCTCAAGTTTATATTAAATATGCAGCTATAGTATGCTGAATAGCTTTATGCTGTCCAAATGTTCGATTTTTGTCTTCGTTCTCCCAATTCTGAATTTTAAAATTCAAGTGCATATGCAAATATTTCTTCAGGTCAAACATTAAACTTTACAGCTGACAGATTATTTTGAAAGATTTGTTTTTATCAGACAAAATTCTAATCTCTTCTCTTATGTATTTTTGTGCACTAGGCGCAGTTGTGTAGCAGTTGAGTAATGCTGGTTAGCTGTTAAGGTGGCGTGTTGCAGTGCAGAGTGCTTGGCTGTTTCCTGTTTTCTCCTGATTGCTCCTGTAAAGATGCCTTGTCGTGCAGAAACAAATGGCTGTCCAGTTAATTGTAATTGCCTGACAACTGCACTTCCAGTCACCCGGGCCTTGAATTAAAATAATGGAGCATACAGTGAGCACATCTAGCTGGTGATATACACACCTTATTTTTCCAGAATGGTAAATTAGACCATCTACATATGTGAACTTGCATATAAAAATGTAATGTTAAAGCATTTGATTCATTCCTTTTTAAGTACTGATTTTGGAGTATCTCTTAAAACATTCTGTATTATAACCACTGTGTCTGTAGTTTAATAAAAATAACACTTTCTTGGTGTTCAGTTTTTTTTAAACTGATGGTTTAAGTCAGTTTTGTCTGTTAGACTAGGACAGATCACATTAGTTTGCATTTTAAGTAAAACTCATCCAGCAAATTCACTCCTATACTTTATAAATCCTGTTTAGTTAATGGGACTCATTCTTATATAACAAAGATTGTTTTTAAAAGATTGTAGCTTCAACCCACATTTTTGGTATTATTCCTATGAAATCCATGTGTATGCTTAATAATTCAAAGGAAATATGCAGCAGAATTAGTATTGGCATGAACAGTGAATAAAATTCAGTACTAAAAATATTAAAATGCTGAGAATAAGTTGATTTGAATCCAGTGGTGATAAAGTGGGGCCATCAAATAAGGAATTGATGCATTTTTTATTTAAAAATCCATTAGAAAGGTTTCTAAGGTAATACAGAACAGATTTCAGTCCTTTATTTTTTTACTGATAACCATCATTTGAATAGTGTACATCCCTGGAAGAGAAGACCATGCAAGTTGTTCCTTGTTGGCTTCAAATGACTGCAATGGCACACATGTACTTTCCATCCCCCACTTGTATAATAATCCTTCAATAGACCAGTTGGCACTGAAAAAAAAAAAGGCAAGTAAATCTTAAAGCCTTGGGGCAAGTTTGGGTTTCCAGTAGCACTTAAAAGTTAAAAATTCTAGAAAAATTTATAGTGAACAACTTAAAGACATTTTGAATGAGTTGCTTCTGCAGATGTGTGAAAGCTAAAATCAGTGGGAGAGTGGGCATAACCATACCTTCTGACTTGGTAAGTAGTCCAAAACTGGGCATGTGGGTTCTTTTCCATTAAATAGTGTACTGTGCTTATAATATCTTCAAAGTCTGAAAAGCCAAATGTAGTTTATTTTGGTATGCTTAAACATAAGAATTAAATAATATATTGCTTTTGCATTTTTCTGGGTCCTAAAACTTCTGACATTTTATTAACTGTATTTTTATTTGTTGCCTATTTTCCAGTTAGTCTTCCTTTAGCAGTTGAGGCTTTTCCTGTAAGGCTGTTTATTGCACTGAGCAAATATTATTCAAAAGGCATTTTCAAGTTACTATAAGTGCATATCACAGCCTGAAAGGTTTGTTACAAACCTTGGTACTCAAGTACATTTAAAAAAAAATATCCACAAAACCTGTTTTAAATCAGTCCATCTGTAAAAACCACAGGGACCTGAAAGAATACTATCTTAGATGACAGTGCTTAAAAAAAATCTGCCTGGTAATTATCAAAATAAGGGATAAGTCCCGGATGCTTGCCAGATATTTATCCTGACCACCTTAACTCCAGCATAGTCAGGAATGATAAGATTTGTATTGTCCAACATCTTTATATGACTTTAAAAGCTAGCATGGTATAGTGGTTAAGATGGTGAATTAGTGTTGGAAATACATTCAAGTCCATCCTCAGTTCACTAGGGAATTGGAGCCAGACAGGGCTGTTATGGAAAAAGTGGAGGAAGGAGTACTATGTGGGAGGCAAACTATGTCTTGAAGTACATATTTGTGTATAAACAGAACAACTAAACTGAATTGCCTTCCTAAAATTTGAATTGCAAGTTATGCCAGCTGTCAAAACTTCACAAGTAGTAATAGGACACACACATTATGCTGTAAATAAAGTAATCCCTGAATAAAAAGTAATTACAGTTATGAATAACTGGGCAGAAATGGTCCTTTTAGAATGGCATGCCCTTTTAAAATCAGCTTCTTTCCCCATTAGTTTAGCAGTTGGTATAAATAGGACCTCAAAGTCTTGAGCTTACAAGAAACTGAATAATTTTCTTATTGCCATTATTCACATGCTCAAAATAGTTCCAACAGTGAATATTAAGAGAGACCATTTACCTTCTGGTTCAAAAAATACATCAGATCCCAAAATAAGGTCAACTGGGGCTAAAGTCAGCAGACAGGGTGATACATGACCCCAGGTAAGTCCTATAATGCGCACCCCAGAGAGGTTATTCATCTGGCAGCTTCTTTGGCAGTTGTCCAAGCACTGAGGGAACTCTGCATTATCTGATAATATTACTTGTGCACCGCATTTTGCTGCCACTATTCCAGGAAGACTCACACCTGCTCCAACCTGAACAGAATAAACTTAATTTGTGACAGCAGTTGTAATCCAAAATGTGTTCACAGAATGTATTCAAACTGATTCTCCTCTGCTCTCCATTTGTTAGAACTGTCAAAATGATATAACATTACCAAGTTACTGATATTTTACCAAAATTTTTGCACTCTTAAATGTAAACGTGAAATACCTAATGGCCTGCTGATGAATAAGTCAAATTATTGTTTCAAATTATTTGAAAGAAAAACTTTGGATAGAGAACACGACTTCAAATTCCTACTTGATACTTATGTAGATTTAATCTGTCCAAGACATTTAGGATCAGTAGAGAAGAACAGGATGGGATGGATTAAGTGATCAATAGTCAATCTTTGGGCTATTCTAAAATATCTGAGAAGTTAATTACAAATTTGAGGCAGGTTTTAATATTTTCAGATTCTCATTCTTTTGAACCTCATACCTGTGATGGAATGGACTTATGAAGGCCAGGCTCAGGGAGATAAGCGTGTTCTTAGCACCCAACAGGAGCATGGGAAGTTCAAGAAGATGAGGCTGGCACCTCCCTAAGGAATTCACGGTGTTGTGGCTGGCTGGCTTGGGAACTAGGGTTCAGTCTGGGGAGATTCTGTCTTGAGGTTGAAGCTAATAAACGCAACAGAACTATTTGCATTGTCTCTTGGAGTTTTTTGGGATGAACCTGACAATACCTGCTACATGGAAAGTGATAGCTGGACAACAGAAATGGATTCTCCACGACCTTATTGCATTGGAAAGAAATAAATGGTTTCAATTACTTAATAGACTGAAGTTACTTAAGAGCAACTTGCTTCCAATTACAGGATATATAGGTGATCATACGGAAATGTGATCATCTTTTTTTGAAACGTGTAAAAATTTTATACACCTCTATACGTGGATGGGATGCTATATATGTGTTTTCTTTCTCTATACATATATAAACAACACTAGTCCTTAGACATTCTATGAGAATGTAAAAAAAATTTGGTCTTGCTGCAGAATTTTAGCTTGCCTAAAATAGCGTACAAACTCATATGACAGTTTCTCAATTCAACTACAGGTACTCATACAGCAACCGTTTGCAGTTACTACAACAGTGATGAAAAGTAACTTCATGACCAATCCTTGCACTGATGACCTTCACAGGTCTGTAAAGCAATGGAAACCTGAAGTAAGATCATAAGTGCAGTTTCAGTTAGTGACCGCTTTGCTAATGACAGAGTTGCCGATCCCAATTGTGGTTGTTAAACAAGGACTACCTTTATAGTCAATTTTTTTATACCACAGAATACATTTTGTTCAAATCACCAATACATGAATGTCAATGTTGATGAATAATCATTACATGTAATAATTCTGGTCTATACTGTTCACATTTCATTTATCTACCTATTTACAATTCTTATCTCCCTGCACCATGCCCCCAAAAAAGCCTGTGGGTGAATGTGCAATATTCCAAACTAATCCAACTGATGAAGCAGTTTTTTTCCTTTTTCTTTTTTTAAAGGCTCTAATTCCATGGTGTTTGAAAGAAAATAATGTGACATTTACCTCCAGTATTCTCTTGCCACAGACAAGTCTTCTATGAAACCAGATATACTGGGCCAAAACCACTGCGCAAGGCCAAACATGCATACCATACTGAGGATCAAGAACCTGAAAAAAGAGTTTGTGTTGCAAAATATGATAGCATTAAAAGAATGTTTAAAATATGTATATAGCTTTCCCTATTTTTCTGGGCTTCAAGTAGTTAGTTTGTAAAATACTTCTATTGATACTTTTCTACAATGTGCTAGAACTGCATACAAGCCATAGGTCAAGAAGAAAGCTGAAATCAACACCTAATACATTTGGAATAATGCACATGCTATGTATTTTCTGTCTGGTATCTATAGAAAAAGTTGCTACTATTGATTAGAATAGATGCATCTTTAATCCATCTTTTCAGGATCAATTGAGGCTATTACTATATACATAACTATGTAGTACCAATGAAATGAAATCAAATCTAGCATGTGAGCCTACTAAGAAAATGCAAAGTCATACCTAATTCCTCCTTCAAGTCTTAGTGCTTAGTTACAGGTTCACTCAGAGAGGATGCCAAATTTACTATCAGGTGTGTGTGGGGGTGTGTTGCCTAGCTTGACAAAGTTAAGGAAATTTTACTACCCTTCTTAATCACTTTTACTTAAAACCAAATAAACTAAGTCTGTTTATTCCATCTACCAAATCTTATTTAAGGCTTACAAATGCAGACATCAGTTCAGAATATGATTTAGCTCAAGGAAAACCTAACACATGTAGTTATAGGAATGCCTGTTTTAATACAATGCTGTGGAAGAGACATATTGCAGTGGCCAATGTAATGAGTTTAACTCTACTGAGATAAGCCATCTACTCTCATTACATCACAGTACTTATAGCCAATTTCAAAAGCAAAAAACAATGATTACAAATTACATTCTGTGTTCAGAAATGAACAGAGGTACATTTTCCCCTGCATATAAATTGGCACACATTTTCTAGTTTAAAAAGTTAACTGTCAAATGTCAAAACATTGTGAAGCTTTAATCCAGTTAGGTGTAACACTGAGATGTGACATGCTTGTGCACACAAAAATAAATTTGTGCTCTCCAATTTTTAAATTTTTTTTAGTTGAACTTGTAAAAACAAGTTTGGTGCCAAAAAAAAAAAAAACCTGAGAAGAAATTGCTGTATCCATTACTGAAAACATTATTCCTTGTTCATTGATTTGTTGATTCTTATTTCACTAACAAATAAAGGCTGTTAGATCCTGGAATTTACTCAGGATTTATCAGACCTCTAGCCAGTGATAAACATTGGGAAATGATACAGTATAATTAACTCTACCAAGTGTTAAATATATTGTTAATTATATGTTCAAATATTTGAAATGCTCTGGTGTATAAAACATGTTCATAAATAAATCTCTATGATCACTTGACAATATACCCCACTGCATTCAAAAAGTTTTACATTGAAGAAGCATATAGGGAAACCATATTAACTGGTTTCTGTTGTCAGATTGGTTTGAAATATAATAGTCCTCAGCTGACATTTTAAATTTGTCATTTCATCTGCAGGAATAAACATCTAAGTTTTAATTTAAGCTCCTCGTAAAAGTATTTTGAAAAACCAAAATCCCACTGGAACATGGACCCACTTTAGAAATATTCTAGGATGAAAATGGAAAGAAGCTATGTCTATCAAACTATCTTAAACCGATTTTCAGTACAATATTTCAAAATTATTCAAGAGCAGATTCTTAATAGTCCTGTGAAATGCAGAGGTGTTAAATTCGCTTCCAAGATAAAGGTGCCACAGTATTCCTGATGGCTTCTACGCTCCCTCGTTGCAACCTCTGACTCTCGTTCAGCAAACAATAATAATAATCATAACAATGGCACCTCAGGAATCAGCACCACCAACTCACGGGTCGGCTCATCCCTGTCTCCCTGTTTCCGATTCTTTCCAAACCGGTACTCCTTCACAGTCAAGTTGGACGCTACGTCGCACATGCCGAGTCCTGCGTACGATCAATAGGGCCCGACTGGCCATTCGCAGCCAATGGTGTCCATCTCTGGGGAGGGTGGAATTATGCAGAACCAGCCGACAGCGAAGGGCATCCACGTTTTGCGTTAGCAGTTACCTTCCTTCCCCAGTTTTTTTTCCCAGTTTATCTAGGTCGGCGGGCTGCGCTTCCGTCTCCTACAGAAGCTATTCAGACGGTTTATTCCTGCAGGGTAATTGATCCCATGGAGAAAGACTAATGCAGCTTAATTTCGCCTACGGTCACTCGCGCGTTCCCGGAAAGATTCGGGACCCTTTACAGCGCTAGCCATTGCGGCGAGTTGGAGTTTTCGCCAGGCTAGTGTAATGTGGGCTCGCATATAAGCCTTTAAGGATCAGAATCCTGTAGACAAATAAGCATTAGTAGTTAAAAAAAAAATCTACACCGACATCCAGAATCAAGCTGCGCCTCCCTACTTGTAGTATGAATAAACTCCCCTGTGCAGTTTTGCACCACCGTGCTTCAGTGTGAGCTGCCACCCCGAAATAAAAATCCAGTATCTCAGTCAGGCTGCTGTTTATGCACACTTCCTTGGGATTAAACCCCGCTGAACAGAGTAGGATTTGTGAGTAAATATGCGTCCGGTCGAACCTTTCCAGGTTCCTATGAAAGCGAACGGAAATCCCACTGCCTGAAAGTGTCTTCCCAACGGGCAACTTCCATCCAGGCTGGCCAACAACTCTCCCAAAGGCAGCTGCTGCAATAATCGGATCCTTTATCCCCTCTCTTCGCCTGCCTTCCTGGGCGACAAAGCACCCCACAACCCACCTCACAGATTAGCGCTGCTGGTTCCGCGCCTTGCTAAGAGCCCGCCTCCGCGTTGCGCAACAGCGACGCTGCTGGCTGGGGCGTCACGTTTCAAGATGGCGCCGAAGCACTTCCTCCTCCAATCTCATCCCGCCCGCCTCTCTTTCCGCTCCTCGAAAGACCAATGAGCGCTGTTCGCCTGCGAGACCGCCGGGGGCGCCAGCCAATGGGAGGGAGCGGAGGTTGAAGCAAGGCGGGTCGCGTCGAGGCCGCGGTGCGGCGGCTGAGTCGGCGCGGAGGTGAAATTTCTGGAAGCGGCGGGGCGCTGTTGTTCGGGAGGGCGCTGTCGCGGAATCCGTAGCCGGAAGAGACGGGCGGGGAGGGGAGAGCCGCGTGGGGAGCATGAACCACAAGAGCAAGAAGCGCATCCGTGAGGCGAAGCGAAGCGCGCGTCCCGAGCTCAAGGACTCCCTCGACTGGACTCGCCACAACTACTGCGAGAGCTTCCCGCTAAACCCGGCGGGCTGTAAGGTGAGCGGGACGCGGGGAGCCGCCTGAGAAGGCTGCAGCTGATAGGTGGGCGGCGGGGAAAGGGCGGCAGCCGAAGGCCGCGGCCGGACAGCCTTTCTGTCGGGACGGGAGGGATGCAGCTCTCTCGCCCGGGGATGCTGAGAGAGGTGGCTCGGCTTGTGCATCGGATTTCGTGCTCCAGGAGCTCAAGGCGACTTACGCGAGTTGGGCGCAGGTAGGTCTGTCTTCGTTTGATCTTCCCAACAGCAACCCCGCGAGGTAGGTTGGGCTGTGAGAGAATCGAGGGTCTTAGCCCCCTAGTGTCTATGGGCATTGTATAGGCTCTCAGGCTTCCCCAGAGTGGTCAATATCGACTTCAAGGGTCGATAGGGCTATCCATTATTGTTGTTAGGACTATTCATAGTACAGTACTCTTAAAGTAGTATTTGTGAAATTGTTTCCCTATATTAAATGATTGGTGGTCGGTGACCAATCTGAAACTTCATGAACGGGTCGAGGAGCTGAAGAGTTTGGGGACCCTGGTCTCAGGTGAGGAGGGTCTCTAGCACCTTAGCTTAAACCCCTCTCGTGGGTTCTGTGTATTTTGTACTGTTTGTGTTTCCATTAAAGTGGGGAAAGCAACTGTGGGTGGTTCTGCTGCGGTGTTATGCACGTGTGTAAAGGATGCCCCGGTTGAACTCAGTGGGACCTATTGCTGCATAAACATGGAAACTGTTCCTGGACAAGAATCGATGTTTGTCAGAGAGAACCTATACTCATGTATTTTTAACTTGATGCTATTTTTAAATTAGCAGTGCAATCCTATACATGTTTCTTCCAAATTAAGCCAGGTTAAATGGAATAAGGCTTGCTTTTAAGTAAATAAATATATGCCAGGCCTGTTGACACAGACTAGCTGCCCTTTGGGGAAAAAAAGAGAGAAAACATGAATCATCGCTGCTTTTCTATTCCTTATTTACCAGAATTATAGATATCAATGGGGTAGTAAAGGAAGAAAGAGAAAAAGGACATGTTTTTGGCAGGTAATCACTTTAAGGTCTTTTGATGTGCTGAGGAGATAATCTAGTATTCTTTATCTAAAGCAGATTTCATAGAAGAATATAGTGGAGGCAGAGATTAGTTTAGACAAAATATAGAAAGTAAAGAAAAGGTGAATTATAAAAGATAGGTCTTGTAAGAATAGCCTGATGCGATGAGATTGATAATATAATGCTTTTAATTATGAAATGCTGAAAGCTATAGTAGCAAGGAAGTGGGGTTACTGTTACCTTCTAAAAGTTAAGAGGAAGTCTGCAAGCTGGAGAGGAGCAAATGTTAGATAAATCCTTGTATTTGTATATTTTCATGGAATCCAGTCCTGTTCATGTGGAAGTAAGCATTTTTTAATTATGTGTGGTGTAGTTTTCAGTAGCTGTAAATAAGATAACTGGGTTATTTACTGCTGAGATAAATTATGCCCCATTTTAAATGGAATAGTAACTGAACCCACCATAAGGAGGAGTGAGGCATGCTACAAATAAAGTGGATAAAGTTGCATTCAAGTTGAGCTGAACTCATGATGACTTAATGGACCTGCCCATGTAGTTTATTATGTATGTGTATGCTTCAGCATATAGGCAAATTTAAAGAAATGCTAGTGAGATAGATATCTCAGTAGTTTTTATAAAATAATGAATGGAAGGTAAGGGTATGGATGTGGGTCCACTTCAACTTCAGGTACAGAGTACCTCATTCTCAATCAGAGATTTGTTTTGGGACTGCAATCCTTTTCCATGAGAATTGTTTTGATTTTCCTTCAAGTCTTCTTTGCTTCACAAATCTGATTTTTCTGGAGAAGGAGAGACAGGAGTGATGGTATTCTTGCTATTAAACAATAAGAAGTCAAAACCTTTGTGGTTGTGTTGTGCATCACCCAGAGATCAACCAGTGGATTCAGTTCTACACTTTGCTCACATTTAGAAAATAGACTGTTTCTCCTCCCTGTTCCTTTTGATTGCCCCATCTCCTGTCCTGAGTAAGTTTTGTATGGTTTTAAGACCTTATCTTGCAACCTTACTAGGATTGAAAGTAAATAATGGCAAATTCATAGCCTGCTTTTCTTTTTCTGTAGCTTTTACATTTAAAAGTTGTATCTGGCTACTTTGGTAACAGAGTCTGGATTTCAAAGCCTGTTACTGTACTAGCACATAACTAAGTGTTCAGTATGCCTTTGTTCAGATAGATAATCTTATCTGTGCCTGTTTGTCAAAAACACTTGGGTGTATTTATCAAATTATGCATTCATAAGTCATGCATTCATGATAAATGGCCTATGTAACACAAAGGGCATTCTAAAGTTTAAAGGGAAGACATCAGCACTGATTGCAGGAAATCTGAGAAATAGCTTCAGTATTATAAAAATCTTTGTTAATATAAGTCATGTCAGGCAAATGCATAAATTCTTGTTCAGTGGTGTTTGAAGAAAGGTCACAAAATAGTGCTTGAGCTATTTTAAATTGAAGAGAAGTTGCTGAATGACACAGAAACTTGTGTCTTAGAAATAGTGATATTAAGATAACATTAGTTGAAAGCTTTTAGTGTCATGTTCTACTTTTAAACCTGTAATTTTACCTTCAGAGTGGATTGCGCCCACTTAAAATCTGAATACTAAGTATGCATATATAGATTTGTGAAATGCTCGTTTCCTTTCATTCCTTTTTATGCAGAGCACAGAAGAGAAGTAAAAAGTAGTAAGCTTAAGAAAATGAAAAGGAAACATAACTGAAACTGTTTTACTTCAACACCATTGACTACAGTATACTTATCCGTAGCTTCCTATCTTTGCAAGCCATCCTTGCTTCTACTGTATATACTTCCATGTTTGTGGGATGTAGGCAACAGTATGTTAGCTTACAAAGAAGTCTCTAGATTAGTAATCCTAGCTTGCCTAGAACAACATGAGTGTGCTTGGGGTAAAATTGAGTTTGGTTGCACATGTGGCACATTGGCCAAAATGTGCTCAAACTGATTAGTACTATCCTTACTGTTCGCTGCAAAAGCTGCATTATCCTAAGTTGCCTGTAAGTAAACCCCATTGAATTTGATAAGAATATTTCAAATAAAGGCAAAGGATCAGCCTTCATATGTTGCAGATTTCCATTGGCTGTCCTAAAAGATGAATGTTGTGATAAAAATTGTGAGGAAAATCACAAAATCTATTTTGCATACCAATTTAGGCATCTGTGAAAACTTCCATGCTATTTACTGTTTTTGAGGATAAGAGCTATGATAAGGCTCTTAGATGCTTTTAGATTAGATGCAAAATATTATTTATTGTTCTCTTTTTTCATTACTTGTTCCTGAAGATTTTTTCAGGTAAGAGCTGTGTAGTACTTTGGAGTATGTGGGGGTACAAGTGTAGTACCTGACTGCAACTCTTTAAAGCAGATTAGTCTTTTCCCAGGTTTGTGTGGCTGCTTTAAACAGTTGCAGGTAAGTTTGTGTTCATGCCACAGTGCACTCCTGAGGACTTTTCAAACTGAATGCAAAGCACTGCAAAACCTATCTCAGGTGTTTTTTTCAATAATGGGATAAGTTTGTTGTTTGCCTCATCTTCATGATGAGTAAGAGTAAGCAAAATTTCAATTTACTTTGCTCACATGTGTGTTTAAAAATACAGTGCAGCACTTTAAATGCATATTAAACAGCATGTCTTTTCACACATTTCTCTGTCAGGGAAAAAAACTAATCAGTTTGACAGCTATCATTTGAAATATTATTATACATTAAGATTTTGATTCTATATTTGCTTACCTGGAGTAACTTCTGTTGAACTCAGTGGCATTTCTTTATGGGATTCCGTAGCTTAAAACATTAAAATCACTGCATTTTTTCATGAGAATGCAACTAGTATGGCCTTGTATAAGAATTATTATCTCCCATGCACTGAGGACACTACCGTTTAAAAACAAAAAATAAAAGCCACTTCATGTAGGAATACCTGGATAATCCTGCATATATTTATGCAGATCATAAGGAAGATGGGAATTTAACATATAACATTTTAAAGCATTTTTGCTCTGTAGGTCTCTTTCTGTGTGGCTAATAGGATCATTAATGTTCTACTATATTGCATTCTGTGTTACATTGTTTTAAAGGTAGTTCTTCATTCTTGCAGGATAATGTGGAAAGAGCAGATGCCCTCCACTTGTCAGTGGAAGAATTCATTGAAAGATATGAGAAACCTTATAAGCCTGTTGTCCTGTTAAATGCTCAGGCAGGGTGGTCGGCCCAAGAGAAGTGGACTCTGGAGCGTCTGAAGCGCAAATACAGGAACCAGAAATTCAAGTGTGGGGAGGACAACGATGGTTATTCTGTGAAGATGAAGATGAAATATTACATTGAGTACATGGAGACTACACGAGATGATAGTCCTCTCTATATATTTGACAGCAGTTATGGGGAGCATCCAAAGCGCAAGAAACTTTTGGAGGACTACAGGGTGCCCAAATTCTTCACTGATGATCTGTTCAAATATGCAGGAGAGAAGAGAAGGCCACCTTACAGGTATAAACTAACTATCCCCAAGCAACAAAAGACTGAGTTTTAAGCTGGCTTACAGACCAGTGAGTGTCCAGTATTCTCATTTGTCCTGCACTTTCAGCCCAGGCACACTAGAACTGAGAGGGTTCTTTAAATTTTTGAGCTTTCAGTAAGGTTTTCCAAATAGCAGCTACATTTGAGCTATAATTTGTAAACCACTTAAACCCCAGGTAAAGCTAATATGTAATGGGAAAATTCTAAAAAGATCTCCTAAGGGATTTTAGTATAAAAGAAGAGTGAACTTGTGCAGTCAGCTGTCTTCTCTCTTTTCTTACTGCGATCTTACCCAATATAGCACTCTCTAAATGTGTCAGAGGCAATACTGAGTACAGATTCTGGGAATTGCAGTCTGAATACATGAACAGCACTGGACTGATAAAGGTTGCTCTATTGTTTTAATGCATCTTTTCTGCAGTTCTGAATTATATTGTTTAGACTCTGCACTTAACAATGTCCACAGTTAAATCTTAAAGCAGTTGGGTTCTATTATCATTGGGGAAATAAAACAATATTTTATTTATCTCCGTCTTTGAGATAACTGCCAGGACATAATATTGGATGATTGTGTTAAATTGTTGAGATGTTAAAAGTTTTTGTAGGATAATATTTTCTATCCATTCTTGACCTCATTCTTTATAGTAAACTTGTGATGCTTTGTATTTCTTATCTTTTCTGTTCCCCTAAACTTTTTAAATCATCAGATTTTGAAATCCTTTCTTCACAGAATGAGATGTTCATGGGACACTCTGAAAACAATTATTCATTGGTCAGGATTTACATGTTGTAAAATAAACTGCCCTGACCTGTGTAGCTGTCTTGAAACAATGTTTTCCATTGGGAAGGGAATGACAGAGTTAGTCTTCCATTTTTTTATTCAGAAATATAGAAATAGCTGACATCTTCATGAAATTTTGTCACTGTATGGCTAATAGTGAGCTACATAGATCAATAGTCTAACTTACAGTGAACAGTTTCTTGTGTGTGTTTTTTTTAACATATTTGTAGTGAGAAAATGGAACAAACTGTTTCAGTCTACTTTAGAAAAAGAGAGGAGATCCTTACTTTGGGGAATAAGGAATTACAAGGAAAATAATTAAGTTTTCTAATATTGCAGGTGGTTTGTGATGGGCCCACCCCGTTCAGGAACAGGTATTCACATTGACCCTCTGGGAACCAGTGCATGGAATGCCTTAGTCCATGGACATAAGCGCTGGTGTCTCTTCCCTACCAGCACTCCCAGAGAGCTGATCAAAGTGACTCGTGAAGAAGGAGGCAATCAGCAAGATGAAGCCATCACTTGGTTCAGAGTAATATATCCCCGAACTCAACTTCCTACTTGGCCTTCAGAGTTCAAACCCTTGGAAATAGTGCAAAAACCTGGAGAAACTGTTTTTGTGCCAGGTATGTCTATTTGTTAAACTCTGTGTTGAAGTACGATATTTTATTCTAAAGTAGGGATGGCTAGTCTGTGGCCCCTTTTTGTGGCCTCTACTGCCCCCTTCATGTCATTGTATTTTGATAATGGAATTGTTAAAGTATTGCTTTGAGATGGCGAACCTACAGAAATTGAAATGTAAGCTCTAAAATAAGTTTTAGAGGGAAAAAAAGTAAAAATCCTAACGCTCACAAAACAAGGATGGGGGGAGAGAACAATGATAGGTTTATCAACACGTGGCATGACCCTGTCTTTCTTTCTTAGATTTATTAACCAGGGCATCCTGGAGGACTCTGGGTGCTATAATTTTTATATATTTTGTTACTATGTTTATAACAAAGTCATATCATATTGTGTCATAATACAGCAACAGCAACCATTCTGGTGACAGGGAATGTATATGGTTAATCTCCAAAAGCCTTCCAAAAGACGCATATCTTCACTAGCCTTTGGAAGACTATAAGCTTAGGAACATTCTTGCCTTGGGGGTCAAGCTGTTCCACAGGTGTTCCAAGCTGTGTTTACTGTGGACCTTAGGTCTCCCTCTCAAATTCACAAGTAGTGATCAAAAGATTGTCTCTTGTAGAAGAACATACTCCTAATAAAATAATTGTTTTGTGAAGATTCCTAAGCCTGTGAGCGCAGCTGCCACTCCTTAAAATCAAGGGGCCTAGAGAAGTTGCAGAGGCTTCTCTTATATATCCAATAGTGTATCAAACATAAAGGATACATGGCATATGGATAGCTGAATAAACCTAGTATAGAAGGAAAGGAAACTGAAATAGGGATGCTCTAAACAATTAGAGTGCTATGGAAGTTATGATGAATAAATCCATGAATAATGTCTTTTGAGCAACAGTCTCCTTAATTAGCGCAATCAGAGGATTGACAAGATGATCATTCTTAAAATAGCTTCTTAAAATTCATTGCATTTATATAGTTATATGTGCAAAGTAGATGCTCATTTTAGGATGTCTTTTACATAGTTGGGAGAAATAATCTCCCTTGTCCTTTCAGTGTTCCATGAAATGGAAATAAAGTCCCTATGGCCAATAATCTGATTAAATAATTTTACTTACTAAAACATAGTGTAATGGTTATGATGTTGGACTGGCACCAGGGAGACCCAGGTTCAAGTCCACCCTTAGCCATGGAAGCTCACTGAGTGATTTTGGGCAGTCACACACTTTCAGCACAGTCTACCTCCTACAATTGGTGTTATGAAGAAAAATGGGAGCTCTGTGTATGCCACCTTAAGCTCCTGATGGAAAGGTATGATATAAACTGAATAAATAATTTTTTGTGGTTTGATAACGTCTACTGCAATTAGAGAAATTGAATATGAATTTCAATCAGGTTTTGTGTTAGTTGCTTGCTTATTTTATTAACTACATTTTAACGGTGTCTTAATTATTCTAAATATTAATATTCCTGATTTGTTTAAACTCAGAATATTCCAGCACCAAATTTTCTCTGGCATTATCTGTTAAAGATAATTAAAAGCTGGAAAAGTTAGTGGTACGTGTTTTTAACCAATCTCATCATAAGAAAGTATGTCTACCCTATGACTATTTTAATCTACTGTCTAGAGAATTCAGTCACCTGATAAACAGTGATGGAAAAGGCTATACCATGTAGTCCCCTTTCTATGCAGAGAATCTGAGTCTGGGATTGTACATAAAGAAGTAGTGCAAATCTGACAGTTTTTGCAAAAAAATTTTTTTTGTTTTTTTCTCTATCACTTCCATTCCCTCCCCAATTCCAAGTTCTCTACAATATGTGGAAAACCAGGAGTGGACTTGTGCTGAAAATCTGATACAGGATTAGTTGCTACTGATGACCAGTCCTATGAGATGTATTACACAGAAAAAAGTCTCCCACACAAGCAAGCTATTTACTGATTGTAACGTTATAGTTAAAACAGAATGATTTACATATTTTCTTCTGTTGATGATCATAAGCTTCTACAGTGTTGCATTTGTAGGTGGCTGGTGGCATGTTGTTCTCAATCTTGACACGACTATTGCTGTCACTCAGAATTTTGCCAGCTGTACAAACTTCCCTGTGGTGTGGCACAAGACAGTAAGGGGAAGACCAAAGTTATCAAGAAAATGGTACAGGTGAGAAATGTCAATGTGACTTCAATGATTTCCCAGGTGCTGGTTGGATAAGCCAGATGTTGCATCCTAGAGCAATGCAGACACCTGGAATTATGCTTAACAGAGTATGTGAAATGCAAATCTAATTAAGTTTTTTGCATTTTGGAAAGACTTTCTGGACAGTCTGGCTTGTAATAGCAACATCGTGCATGGAGTCCAGAAGGAGGATTAGGCTTCTGGATTTCAAGATTCATTAAGGTGACTCAACTATATGTATTTCAAAGGCATAGTTTTAAGTTTGAGAATGTTTGATCACTCAGTTATTAAACACCAAACTAATATTAAAGTGATAGATTAGCGATTAAAGTGATTTTAATGTGGTGTTAATTAAAGCAATAAAATTAAGGGTGAGGCTTCTTAACTTTATTGTGGATGCAAATGCTTCCCAACTAGTCTCAGGATTTCTACGCTTTCATGTATGAATAGTCTTTTGTCTCCAATTGAGCATTGCTGGATCAAACCAAGGGCCTAGGTATTCCAAGTTTCTTTCCCATAACAATTTATTGCCTGGTCTTTGGGAAACTGACAAATAAGTCCATACGGGCAATAGCCCTCTCCTGTTGTATTTTTGCTAGGCAGCTTCACACTTTTAAGGTCAACATTGATAGGCTATTCTGTAGTTGGATTAATTTGGATCGTGTTTTGGGAACAGAGAATTTGTGAATCCCACCACTGATTTCACTTAGCTACCTGAGATACCTAATCAGTATTTTATAACCGTAGGAGTTTGATGCTCCATACATTGTGTGTAAACATCAGTTCCTGTATATTGTTTTTTGATTTAATGCCAATTAAACACTTAGAGAAAACCTTTAAAAATTACCTGAAATGTGGCAGATAGAAAAAAGTAGTTGATTTTACCAGTGAAATATTTTGCTTCCTAAATTAATAAAATGGGCAGTAAAAGCTCAATCTTGAGAGGGCAAAGTGAGTTCCCATCCATTATGGAGCCCCAGCTGGGCAGATCTCTGGGAAGAAGCCTCGGCAAAATCTCAAGGAAAGCTGCCCTGAGATGGATGACACTTTGGCAAAACAAACATTTATGAGAGGCTTGCTTCTTCCTCTGTTTGGCAACAGAGATTTTGTACCCTGGTTATATATCTAGCTTTTATTAAGTTGCTGCTTTTTAATTTATTGCTTGAGGAGGAGGGCAGGATATATCATTTTTCTTTTCATTATGCTAGAAAATTGTTCTGAGTGGCCTATGGAGTGAAGAGTAGGATATGTGGTATTTACCCTCCTTATCTCTTCAAAACATATAATGCTTTTATCCTCTATTTATACATCCCAAGGGTCCTAAAGCAGGAACATCCTGAACTAGCTGCACTGGCTGATTCTGTTGACTTACAAGAATCAACGGGCATTGCTTCAGACAGTTCTAGTGATTCATCTAGTTCTTCCAGCTCCAGTTCTTCAGATTCTGATTCAGAGGTAAGAACTGGGCTGCTGCAAGTACACCTACATAAAAACTAAACCACACTTGCTATTTAACCTGAGCTATAGATAGAGGTAAGGGCAAAAATCTAAACTGCTCTAGAAAAGAGAAGGTGATATGATCCTCAACTGAAATCAATGGCATTATTACTGTAACTGAATCTAAGAAATCCTAAGAAGGATCTGTCTGTCCTCCATGGTACTGGAGGATAGTACCTTGTAAGATCTGTGTTGTCAAATTCAAATGAGCATGCAAAATCTGTTTCTGCCAATTGTACCGTCAATTAGCATATTCAGAAGTAACGTTTTGGAGAGAAATTGCATATGACCAAGTCTAAATGACATCCATAGCTCTGATGTCATAGCCTCCTCCAAGTAGGGTATTTCATTCCCACATATAGTGAACCATCGATAGACCACAAAAGAACTCTGAATGTGTATTAACCCTAAAGTCAGGGAAAGAGAGGTCTCCAATATATTGGTGATCCTTTCTTACAATTCAGCTGCCTCTACCTGGGGACCAGTGGCCAGGTTATTGGGGCAGCTGGTCTTAAGTTGGTGCTGGTTAAGGCCAGGTCTATCCATAAGACCATGTCCATACACAACCTGGTGGTGGACAAATAGGCAAAATTTAAGTATGTCTTCTCTCTTACTGCATTGGCTGTTTATCATTCAGCAGCCCTTTTCTGGATGGCCAACTCCCTTTTGAGTAAGGGCCATCCTACTGTTTGTTGCGCCTAGTTTGGTTGCACTTTGCAGCGCAGTTGCCTCAAATTCCCTTTAATCTGGACTGCACCTGGGCAGGGCCTTGCATGGTGGCTAGGGCACTGTCTTGCCAAGTTACTTGGGTTTCTTTTAAGCCTGTTACCTCTGACAAAGTGAATAGGATTTTCTCTAGGATGTCCTGAGCCATCTGCAAGCTGGATTCTTGCCTATTCTGGCTCCTTTGTATAGCTGGAGAGGGTGATAGTTCTGTAGATCTGGGAGATTATGAGCACCTCTTTGCAGGAGGGTTTGATGCCAGCAGCCCTTAAGGAGGCATTGGTTTGCCCCCCTCCTTAGGAGGTCCTTTCTGGATCTGGAGGTATTAGATAATTATTGCCTGGTCTCTAACCTTCCCTTTGTAGCAAAGGTTGTTGAGACAGTGGTTTGGAACCAACTATAGAGCATCCTAGAAGAAATGGATTATCTGGACTGGTATCAGGGTTCAGACTCTGGCAATGGATAGAGACAACATTGGTTGCTCTGGCTGATGACCTATATCAGGACCTGGACATGGGTAGTTTGCTTGTTCTGGTCCTTTTGCACCTTTCAACAGCCTTCAATATAATTGACCCTGGTGTTCTGGGTGGGGTATGGGGATTGGAAGCACTATTTTGCAGTAGTTTTGCTGCTTCCTTTGTAGTCAGTTCCAGTTTATGGTGGTTGCAAGGGAGAGGTTGGTACTGTGGTTGCTCCCTTATGGGGTGCCACAGAGGTAATTTTTCTCTCCCTTGTTATTTAACATCTACATGAAGCTGTTGGGGGAAATCATCCAACAGTTTGGAGTCCAGAATTATCAGTATGCTGATGATACCCAACTGTACATTATAACTCCAGGTCAGAAACACTGTTGAAGTCCTGCCACAGCCTGGAGGCTGTGTGATTTTGGATGGGAGAGAACAGGCTTAAACTAGACCCTAGCAAGACAAAACTACTGTTTATACACAAGGGATCTTCTACCTCCCCTGTTTTGTTTCTGGATGGGGTAGCACTTTTAAAACATACAGGTAGTCCTTGCTTAATGTCCATTCATTCAGCGATTGTTTGAAGTTACAGTGGTGCTGAACGAAGAGACTTATGACTGGACCTCAAAGTTCTAGCTGTTGCAGTGCCTCCCACAGTCACATGAACAAAATTCATGCCCACCCACATTTACATCGGCCTTTTGGCTGCTCACCTACCTGCTGCTGCCAGCTGCCCCCACCACTCAGCCCTGTGTGCCGCTGCACCATGTGCCACTACTGTACCAGCCAGGGCCTTCTTTCGTGCCACCTTCTTTCATTCCAGGGCCTCTGTTCGTGCACTGGCCAGAGCCTCCATTTGCAGAGAGTAGTGGTGCATAGTGCAGTGGGCAGGGCTGGGCGGTGGGGGCAGCCAAAAGGGTAGAGATGGGGAAGAGATAGGTGGATGGGGGGAGTTGAAGTGGAGGCAGTCCCTTACCTTTTTCCAAGAATGGTTGGATCCAGGTGGGTCCTTTCCTAACAACCACGTGGGTTTCACTTGACAACAACTGGAATTGCCAGAACTGCCATTGCTAAGTGGAGCAGTCACATGACACTTCAGTTAATGACCATTGCCGGTCCCAATTAGGGTTGTTAACTGAGGACTACCTGTACTAGATGTTATTCCTCAAATGTCATAGCCTCTTTTTCTGATGAAAATTGCAGTTTTGAAATTCAGGACTTATTGTTATTATTTCTTGTTTATTTAGTGTGATTCTAGCTCAGAAACTGAAGGAATGATGCATCGAAGAAAAAAGCGAAGAACATGCAGCATGATGGGAAATGGTGATACTACCTCCCACGATGACTGTGTGAGCAAAGAGCGTAGTTCCTCCAGGTACCACATCAAAATACCCATTCTTACCAACCAATGATAAAAGTTAGTCAGATCTATAGCTGTGGACTAAACTGTAGATTGCAGGCAATTAGAGAATAATGGGGAATATCCATAAAGAACAGAGCTTATCTCATTACATGTAATCAGATTTCCCATTTCTAATGCTCTAAACTGACTTCGTTCTATTTATCAGAAGTCCTGAGGAGGACTTTTCTTCACTCATTAATTCTAGTCTTTTGTCAAACTGTTATCTTTAATATAAACAGAATGCACTCAATTGAAAATGCTGCTGTTAAGGTATCAGATCAGATTTTATACTGCAGTGGAGGAATAAGAATTTAATGTGCAATTATATAATAGAATGTCTTTTACATAGTTAGTTGCTTGTATTGGTGTTGCCTTATGTGCCTCCATGGTAACTATGTTTCATCAAAGATAATTATTTGTATTTAGATCTTCCTTTCTAAAATTGTATATGTTGATATAGCTGGGAGATGTGTGGCTGGGCTACTAAGAGACTGAAAGCAGGTGACAAGGTCACATAGGAAAACAGCACCATCTATTTTCTTTTTCTGATTATTCTTTATAAACAGGTAGTGGATCCTAGGCACACTAGGTTTTGCTTAGGAGAAAAACCTGGATTCATACAGACCTTTCTCCTGCTGTCTTATTGTGGACAAGATCTTAGGATAAACATCTTTTCTAATCTAAATTCTTACCAAATACTGAACAATCAAAGGCTCCTTCCCTAGTTTCTTCTGATTTGATTTCTTGTTATAGTGAAAGAAATTCGTTTGATGTTGAAGAAGATAGGATTATTTCTAAGCAATGTAATGTAAGATGCATCCGTTTTCCGAGGAAAGTCCATATTGTCACATGCATACGTTACAAGAAACTTGCCCTGACAGATAGTTATATTTTTATTTTTGACAGAATTAGGGAATCTTGTGGAAGTCGTGCTCATCCATGAAAGATAACAAGACCTGTCTGCAGATAGTTGCAACCAGCCAGATGTCTTCTGTTCCTCCCATCAGCTGTATACTTGAAGCTTTTTCAAGACTTCCCCACTCCATTTTTATTTTTAAATCTAAACTTTTAACTTCTGTTCCCTGTTATCAAAGCCTGACTTCTTGCTAACTAAAGGAGAAAACTCAAGATTTCTATGTGTTCAAACTTCTTTTCCATATTCCACCAGAAAAGTATAATAAACTGAAGGCAATGCTGATGTCTACAAAGCCATCCTATGGTTTCCAACACTATGCAGTCAACAAAGGAAATGGCAAATTTCTACTGTCTTTAAAACAATCAGGTAGACTCTAAAAGCCTGATTCCTGCTCCAATATTGTCATATGTTTACAAGATGAATTCTAGTGCATTACAACTGGAGGTCAGACATACAACCATTACTCTGTAATTGGCCAGCAGATCCTTTACTATAGCACAAGTGAACCATGCTATGATTTTTCTATTGTGTAAATTATTACATGTAAAAGCACCTTTTGTAATTCTGAATTTATCAGTAACATCAATCCAGTCATGGACTAATGAGACTCTTGTGAAAGTATTGTTTGAACCAGCAGTTAATCATCATTGCTTCATTTTTTTTTCTTCCTATTTTAATGAAAAGCTGCAGATATTTGCAGTCAGTTTGGAAGTATACCCCAGAAACAAATGGAGATGGGAGAAACTAGCTGCCTCATTTACCTCTCCCTGTGGGAATTTCTGGACACATATGAAGGTAGAGAGCTTTTTTCATAAAAGGAGTGGGTAGGGCCTAAATAAATATAAATAAAAATCTATTTAATGAAGAACTGCTTTTCAGGAGCCTACAAACTTTCTACTCTTATCTGCTGTTCTAGTGTTGTAGGTATTTGAGGTGTGTGTGTATTCTGTCCTGAATAACGTGGTTGTATGTATCCCATGACAGCTGGATTATTTCAGGATATGCTGCTGCTTCAATGGCACTTTTGTTGGTAACAGAGACTGGTATTATGTTCTGAGATGTGCTTATATCTCCATTCATGAAGGTAATTCCATTCCAACTTGAAAAGTCTAGATACAGCATAATGAAAAGATCCTGCACACTGATCACCCTTGAGAATGCAATAAGTGGTTATTGAGTTTTTATTACATTTCAAGGTATGAAGTGGAGGTTGTGCTTTTTGATTGTTTCTATTCTACATAACAATGAAGAAGTTTGAGAAAATCCATATCTAGTGGATGGTGCAATGTGAAATCAGCTCATGCATGGCCACTTACTGGCTCCTGACCAGATAAGAAATATGACACATAATTGTCCTCTATGATTCCAGTGTGTGCCAAAATGTTACCACTAATTTCAGGGATTCAAATGTCAGTAGTCAGCCTTAATTCCATGCATGCAGGAAGTACTGGAGGGGAAAGAATGAGTGCATTAAAGGCTGACTACCTACTTTTCCAGCATCCTTCCTTATAAACATTTGTGCGGAATTGGGATGGTTTTTGCAAATGTAGTAATTTTGCATACATTTCCACTGTGTACCCTATATTTGTTTAATGGAAATTAACATCTTCCAAATCAGTGTGGTGTAGAACCAAGAATTCAAAATCATAAAGGCAGATGAGTGTGGTATTGGCAGAACATTGAGATATAAATAATAAAAGTAAATTATGAATATCAACAAGAAATACAGCAGAAGGGCTATTACTAATACTGGTTCCATTGCAACTTGACTATGGACATAAGAAACACCTATTTGAGCTTTAATCCATCTACCCCAGTCAGGGCTACTCCCAAATAACCAAGTAGAGGTTGTTCCTAGGTCTGGGGCTCAAGCTTAGCTAGAGCCCAAAGTTATGGCTCACTTCTGTTAGAGAAGTTAAGGGGTGGGAGGAGTGGTGATTTTAGTTGAATGTTCCCTCTGAAGAGATGTTTAAAATGCTAGTAAGGAGTAGTGAATAGAATTTTCAAGAATTATTTCCTTCTCCATCTGCCTTCCTCCCAGCAAGAACCTCATTTTAAATCTCATTCCTCTCTGCAAATGGAAGGAATCCTGTTTTTAGAAAGGATGCCCTGGAACAGCCCACTATGTTTCTGAATACAGTTAAATCTTGTTTTACTGGACCTCAATACAATGGACTATGGCTTGGGTTTTAAGATATATTAAATGTTATACAATTTGCAGGTTCTTTGTACACTAGACAGGCAGGGAACATCCCCTTTAACTAGAAATTGAATGGGTATATTTGTGACACAAGGAATTAGATAAATCTATTCAGTCATCGGTTCTTACTTAAAATTAGTTTTAATCAGGAAGTTAATATGAAAGAAAGAAATGAGCATTGTTTTGACTGATACAAAAGAACCCCTCCGTGTGTGGAGTTTCCTGTTTAATGGAATCTGATTTTCAAAAAAATAAACCTGAAGCTTTTTTGTTTCAGTTTGCATGAAAAGCTACTAATAATGACATTCTTAGCAGTAGTAACCACAGGCAGTAGGGGAATGGCATTACAACTTTTTAAATCTCTTTCTAATAATAATGAGATTTGTTTATTTATAGCAACCGTTTGCTTCTGATGTTACATTTTATATTTCAGATTCCCAAACTGATGAAAAAAATTAAACTTGGTTATTCCTTTTTAAAAAAAAGAATTAAACTTTATTTATAAAATTGGGCATTCTTGTACATAAGAGAAACTTAAATTAGGATTTGACTCCAGTACTCTAAAAATTACGGCTTTATGTGGTAATTGATTAATTCTGTTTAGCTGTGTGTGTTCTTGTATATTTCTATCCTGTTAAGCCAAAACCAGATTACCATATTGTGAGAAAGTCTTCTAAACAATGTATTTAGGCTAAAGACTAAAATGGGCTCTTGTAGCCTTCTTTTGAACAGTAGCACTTGTAAATTATCTTTATGGATCACAAAAAGATACATGTTTTGAAGGAACCATGTGTATAATAACTCGGTCCTAGTATTTTTTAAAATAATTCTTGTTGCAAAGATCAGTTTGGTACATCCACCTTATTTTCTCATTTAAACAAGTCACTGTTTACTTGGGAAAATATATGTCTTATTCTGAGCAACTGTTACATTGAGTCAACTTACCCTAGAGTTTTCCATAGAGCTTAATTCACATTTTACCAAGACCTAAGTCTTTGTGGCACTTGTAAAGTGCAAGCCCAACTAACTAGTCTGTACTCAAATCCATCCTAAGAGTGGAGCCAGGAATGCTCTGAATTTTATTTGTTTTGATGATTTTTTAAATACATAAATAAATAAAAGTCTTATTTTCCATTATTTAACTTGTTTTTTATTTAAATTTCATTCATGTCTTTCTCTTTATATGCTAACTAGTCAAAAACACTAAGAATCTGGAAAACTAGACGCGGTGCAGTATAAGGACTTAAAGATAGCCTCCCATTGCTAATATAAAATAGTCAGGATGTGCTACAGCACATGTGAAGCTAAACAAGTACTTCAGAGTAGGCATAGACATTACTAAGTACATGCTCAGCTGTAATCTAGTAAACAGCAGTATAGTATCTGTTAGTAATATCCTGTGAGTATCAGCTATTACAGATGCAATAGTGGGAGACTTTGAGGAATTTGGTGATACATTGCAAGAGGTGCTAAATGTAGCATCTAAAAAGAACATATTAAAATGCAAAAGCGGAGAAATGAAGGAATCTGAATTATAGGAAGCTTTGGGTTGGTTAAACTACAATGCAGGAAAAAGAGTTTTGCAAAGAGAAGAGGCTCATTGCCAACATCTGTTTCAAGCAACGTAAATGCAGATTCTAACCCAGGACACCACTGGATTAATATTAAAATCAAATCAACCACATAATAGGAAACAAAATGAAGTGCAGTTCAGTAAGCCAGGACTCTTCCAGGTGCAGATTATAGAATAGACCATGAATTATTGGTGTCAAATACATGGGTTAAAGTTAGAAAATTAAAGAGAGATCAAGTAAGCGAGATTGATCTGAAAGACCTGCAATCAGGTAATAAGACTAGATAATGGAGAAAGCAAGATAATTTAGGAAGAAGTTTTATCTTTGTTTAATTGACTATAGCAAGGCCTTGTATAGATCATGCCAGATTCTGGCCTATTCTAGCGCTTATGGGAATACCAAAATATCTGATTATTATTCTGAGGAAACTACAATGAACAAGTATCTTTGAAAAATTATTTTGGAGAAACACATTGGTTCAAAATAAGAAAGGGAATGAGACAACAATGCATATTGTTCCTGTATTGGTTTAAATCTCCCTCTATGCTATCCTGAGTCTAGGCAGCAAATCATTTAGTGGTTAAGCCCACCTTCCTAATGGCCCCTGATAGAATTAGAAAGGTGCACTCTGTTTTACACCAGGTATGCTATTGTATGCATAGGATTATAGGACAGAAGCTTTTTGGGAAACAAAAGCTGAATTCAATCTATTCAGGTCAGGGTATCTCAGTTTGGGTTAATTTTTGATTTGCTGACTTAGACCCAGATAGCAAAGATGGAAAGTTTTCCCTGATTGGGCAAAGCAATAGTCGTTCCTTTTAAAGATGCTGGCTCTCATTTATCCTCTGTAGTCTATAAAACTGAGAAGAGTACAGGAAAGGAGGGGCCTAGTAACATCCAAGCAGAAGGCCCAGTTAGTCTCTCTTTAGCTGTCTTTTATGTGGTATACTATGCACTTGTATTGATCTTAGGCAGTCAGATAATACGTAGTTTGTTTAATTTGGTTGACTATTGGCTTGATCGGAAATTCTGTTTCTGTGATAGTTACCTTCCCTTGTTTTTTCCCTTATATTTCCCTTTTCCCAATAAATTTGTTCTTAGATCTATGGATTTGGCTTCATTGCTTAAATAAGAGAATTTCTCTGTTGAGGGATCTCTTGAAGGATTACCCATTCTCATTAGATGGCAACAAAATATTGAAATGAGAAGTCCAGGGAACACAGTCCTATGCAGTGCTTCCAATTTGATTTCCAAATGGTGTTCAAAGCACTTTGCTGCAGCAGTTATGTACTCCCATGTACTCCAAAGCACTGTAAAGTCAAAGAATTCAGTAAATCTAGCAGCAGTGGAAGAGATTAGTCTGTTGACATTTGGGAACATTTGATTACATTTTGAGCTTTATCACTTAATGATGCGGCCTAAACCTAAGGCACTGAAAAGAATCAGTGGCCTTCCAGATGTTTTATTATAATTCCCACCATCCTGTATTATTGGCTATATTTGGAAAGCCACATCCATGGCATAAGGAGAACAGACCAAAATGGTCCTTGCTTTATATTTGATAATTTAAACAGAAGTGAATTTTTTCAGAAAAAGATGGAATCATTGGTCAGCAAGAGTGCCCCTTTCTCCTGAAAACATATTACCTCAGGTGGTTCTTAAACTGTTAAATCGTAATAGTGGACCTCCAAAAAGTGTCCCACTTTTTATTTGCCTCAAGCAACATTTGCTTTTGTTATAAGCGGCAGAAATTAACACATTTCCTCAAATGAACTTATGTATGTAAAAGATTTAAGATGTTCTTTATTTCATGTGATGAAGACCATTTGTGTCCCTAAAAGTAAAGGCTGCTTGCCTATGTCAGATGGGAAAGTTCTAGTGCTCCCACACTTCCAAGTTACCTTAGCTAGTTGGATATTTCAGATACATGAAATCTAGAATTAAGGGAAACACAGGTAGTAACAACACAGTTCAGTTGCCTAAATCCCTCACCTAGCCGGCTATTTTGAAAGGTAGATTGGGTATAGAATAAGTGGGAAACCCTCTTCTTCCAGTCCATATTAAATATCAGTGAGTCATCTGAAGCCTTTCTAAGCATGTTTGCTCTGAAGTGAGTCTCAACTCAATATGATTTATTTTCACGTATACATTTCTGTAAATGGAAAATCCAAATAGAAACCGCAGCCGCTGTATTGGCTTCTTTAGAACATTCTACCATAAATTGGGATGCCCAGAAGGTAAAGGCTTGGATCATTTGATTCCTTGTTAATCGTTTTAAGGAAACTGGAATATTGAAGGATGCTATTTCTCCTAATAAAACGAAGGCTAGACCATCCCCAACTTTGTTACAAAGGTAGAATTCTTCGAACACTGAGATGAAAAATTCAGGTTTATGGAATATCTCTGTCTTTTTATTATGTTTCATTTTTTTTTCTAGAGTATCTGTAGAATTCTGGTATGTTATTTCTAGCTGTGCCAAAGAAAATGTTTGCTCCTTGTAAATACATATTCTCAGAAGAAAAGAAATTCCTAACAGTTGATTATTCTTCCGTGTTTAGTATAAAGCTGCAGGAGAGAGAACATTAGATGTGTTACTTAGGAAGTAATGGTTCACATGCTAATAATAATGGCCTTGAGAAAATTATCCAAGAAAACAATTTGAGCTACAACTTTGGAAACAGAACCTCCTCTAGTCTACTTGTTTCTTTAAAAAAATGAAATAGGTATTTATAGATGCCACACAGAATTCATGTCTCTTCCATTAATGTCAAAAAGATGGAAGCAGGCTAAATCACAAGACTGTTCAAAATGGAACCAAAATCATACCCCAAATCCCTATGCTCCAGGTTATTAGAACCCATATTTTTAAAAGTGACCTTTGTGAAATCATTGCTGGGTGCTTAAGATGATCTGTTGAGAACTAAGTCTTATTTTGTAGAAGATGTAACAACAATAATCTCTGCCTTCGAACTGTTGACTGAGAATGTAGTTCAAGAGTGTGTGTGTGTGTTTAATTCCTAATAAAATGCAGTAGCTGCACTGCTACCAGATAGCTTGCTTACATCACTCCATATTATTGATGATGGCCTTACCCGCTGGCCAGCAATCATATAGTATAATCTCAGAAAATATATATTATATGGCTTCAAGCACTCTTAGAGGCAGAGACCTCTAGCCTGTCTAGTAATTCCCTGGAAGTTCATGATGTTAAACTTTGTAGTGATTAGTTAGACTAGCAAATCAGCAAGTTCCATAAGTTCCCCGTCTCTGCAGTGGTAGGATAAAGCATCACATCACCATTTAAGTAGAAAATACTGGGTTCCTAAGCAAAAGAAGCAAAACCCAGTAATCTTACTATCTTCATCTTGTGCACCAGTTGTTTTCATTCCTGGATCAGGAGGCTCTGCTCACAGTCACACAAGCTTTAATCACCTCTCATCTGGACTAATGCAATGTACTCTACATGGGACTTTTCTTGAAGACTACTTGGAAATCACAATTGAACCAGAATGCAGCAACATGGGTAGTTATGGGGGGTATCCCAGTATGCCCATGTAACATCACTACTTAATGAGTTGCACTGGTTACCATTGAGCCTTTGGGTGTAATTCAAAGTACTTGTTATCTATAAAGCCTTTCATGGCATAGGGCCAGGATATTTGTGGGACATTCTGTCTCCATTTATCTCTGCCCATCCAACAAGTTCAGGCAGTGTTGGCATGCTCCAGGTCTCATAGTTAAGTAATGTCATCTGCTGGGATTCGAGAGGCCTGCCTTTTCTGTCACTCTGCCTGGCCAATGGAATGGCATTCCTCCCAAGATTTGGATGGTCCCATCCCTGATGGCCTGCAGAAAAGTTGGGAAGATGTAGTTTTTCCCCCAGGGTCTAGGCCAGGAGGGTATGTAAGTCTGTTGTAAGGTGTGCGAGTTGCCTCTGGCTTGATGTGTTTTTATGGATTTGTATGCTTTTGATGTTTTTAACTTCCTGTTAGCTACCCAAAGTTGCATGGCAAGTGGGTGGCCATGTAAGTTGAAATAACAGATATCCAACTAAAATGGGGGACTGAAACAAAAAAATGTTGAAAATATTAGGGCAATTATTTTATTCTCCAACAGAAAGTTTGAAAAATAGTATGCAAGCTTTCACATTTCTGAGAATTTTTTACCATTTTAGTCTTGGATGAATTGGTCTTCATCCTACATTCCAGGTAAGACTAACCTTGCCTGGAATGTAAGATCACCTATCTCCTTTTTAAAAAATGTGTTTTAATTATACTGACGAATTCTTGGATTGCTTTTTGGCTGGCTGGCTGGCATTGTCCCTACTTGCACGGAGCCTAGGCCTATTAGATCAGCCTGCCCCAGGCAACTAATGACCCTAATGGATTCCAGAGGGAGCTTGGGCAGTTTGACTAAGGCTTTGGTCTCCACCTGGAATGGGCAGGTGCCTTAAGGTCTCTGGATCAGATTGTCCTCATGCACCCTCTCCCTGTTCATTGATCCCAGGAGCGGGGTATGTGTGTGTTCTGGAATCCTTTGTATTCTGAGCAGCTTTAGGAGATAAAACAACAGAAGAGACACCTACAGCACTATTGGAGGACAATGAAGAGTGAATCTGACCAATCATGTAAGAGCCCATGTTAGGGATTACATCATGATAAGTATGGCAAAACATGTTTATCTCAATGCTCTCATTGCATCTGCAGGCAGGCAAACAGCCAGCCAGTGGTCTTGTAAGGTGACCCAATCTCTGTTAGGAAAAGAGAAATTACAGGAATATCTTCAAGGCCACTGTGGGAAATATTCTAGGCACCTGATTGTATTCACTCAAGAGTTAGACTCTGGGTCTATGCAGGTTGACTGAGGCACTATCTTATTCTATTATCTGGGAGGTATTTGACCTTATAACTCCTGAGGAAGTGGACAGGATTCTCAGAATACTAACCTGGCCACTTGTCCTTTAGATCTATGCCCCTCCTGGCTAATTAAGTGCTGCCAGGAAGGAGATGTGGTTGGGTTCATGCAGTGGTTAGTGCATCCGTAAGTGAGAGGGTGGCTCTGCCTGCCTTAAGGAAGGCAGTGGCACATCCCCTCCTTAAGAAATGGACTCTGGTGCTGGACAACTTTCATCCACTCTCCAATCTTCCCTTTTTAGATTGTCAGATTGCAGCTTCAAAGGACCTTGGAGGAAGTGGATTTTTAAAAACCTTTTCAGTTGGATTTCAGGCCAGGACATAGTACAGAGGTGGCATTAATCTCATTTGTAGATGAGTTGTGGCAGATTTGGGATCACGTGGTTCAATTGTGTGTTTCTCCTTGACCTCTCAGCAGCCTTCAATACCATCAGTCATGGTATCCTTCTACACCAAAGCAGGGATTAGGAAGCATGGTGTTGTGGTGGTTCTCCTTTCTTCATGGCTGGTTCCAATGGCTGGTATTGATGGGGGAGAGGTCAAGCTTGAGGTTCCTGACATGTGGGATGTCAGAGGCTCAATGCTGTTGCCCCTCCTGTTTAACATCTACAGGAAGGCACTGGGTGAATTCATCAGTTGGCCAGGGGTCAGATATCAATATGTTGATACTCAGTTGTATGCCAGGCCAACCAATTAATGCCCTCAAAATTTTGGTCTCAGTGTCTGAAGACAGTGGGGTCTGGATGGGGAGGAATAGCTAATGCTCAACTCTGACAACACCCAGTGGCTGTGTGTTTTGGGTTCTCCAGTACCAAGGGCTTTCCACTTTCAGCTCTGGATGAGCTTGTAGCGTGCAATTGGGGAATTTCTGGGCTCACAGTTCCAGCTCAAGAAATAGATAGTAGATATGAGCAGAAAGCTTTTGTACAGATCCTCTAGTGTGGCAATTGAAGCCATTATTAGATCGGGTGACCCTTCTCACAGTCACTCATGCTTCAACTGAACCTTGCATATCAACTACTGCAATGCACGCTACATGTGGCTGCACTTGGCCACTCAGAAGCTACAGCTGGTCCAGATTGTGGTGGCACAGACACTTATGGATGTATCTCTGCTGCTCAAGCTGCACTAGTAACGAGTAAGCTACCAGGTGTAATTCAAGGTGCTGGTTGTGACATATAAAATCTCTCAAGGCACGCGACTTGGCTATCAGAAAGACTTGGTCTTTCCTCCATCATTTCAGCCCATCTATAACATCTGACAGAGAAGACATGCTCCAAGTTCCATGTTAGACATGTTAAAACAATGTTATCTGATGGGACTTGGATGTCATGCCTTCTCTGTCATGGAGCATAGCCTCTGGAATAGGATCCCCATTGGGGTTTGGGTCACCCCATCCTGCCATCCTAAAGACCAGATTTTTCCCCCAGATGCTAATTTAAGAAAGGTGTCCAATTGGGAATGTTGCTAATGAGTTGGTTTATTAATTTCCAAGTTTGTCACCTTTTGTTTGTATTGTATTGATTGCTGCTATGAGTTGGATGGCCTATAAATTTGATATAAAGAAAGAAAAAAAATAGAGAAATGTAGTCACTTTCTAACAGGATGATGGGGGAGGGTGGATTACACTGAGCCAAAATATTTGGCTTTGGTGTAGAGTGATGTATAAACCATGGTTTATGGTCTAGCTCTAGCACAAGGCACAACCCAACTCTAAGTTTTTCCCGGGAAGTTTACAGGACCCAATATTCCTGAAGATGGCTCTGTGCCCTCCTCGCAAAACAGACGTTCCTTTCCTTCCTGTGGTCTCGCCTTCCCTCCCCCCTTTCCCCGTATTAAGGTTTGTAAGTGGAAATGGCCATCCCGGCGCCCTCGACTTGCCGGGAGTGGCACCAGAGGCAGCGGTGGGCGGGGCCGGGCGAAGTGACGCGGGTGTTGTGAAACCCTATCCCGCTTTCGGCTTCAGAAGAGAAGGGATTTAATCGGCCGCCGCTTTTAGGCAGCTGAATTCCGTCCCAGCTGCTCAGTTGCCCGGCGGCCGGAGGAGGAGGAGGAGGAAGGCACGGGAGAGCAACGACCCGCCATCGCGGCTCCCTGGTCAGTTCCGGGCAGTGCTCTCGAGTCTCGCGCCGCAGAGCCGCCGGAGGCATGGATGTAGCGGTGGACCTGTACGTTGCAGTCCCGCTGCTTTTCACGGTCCTGGCTGTTATTCTAGCGTCGGTCTTTGTCAAGCTGAGATCCTCGGAAGAGGACAAAGCTACGGAGACGGCAGCAGCTAAGGAAGAAGGGGAGGCCAAGGCGAGCGCTGCTGCGGTAGACCGGACGGACGGAGAAGCGCTCCAGAAGGGCGAGGGGCAACCTGAGGCGGCCGAAGAGGAGCCTCGGAAGGAGAAAAAGGAGGAGGAGGAGGAGGAGGTAGTAAGCAGAGAAGCGAAAAGGGGCGCCGTGGAGGAGATAGGGGCTGAAGAGGGGGCGAACGAAGAAAAGAAAGAACAGCTTCGGGAGAAGGGAAAAGGGGAGGAGGTCGAGGACGAGGCTGCTCCGCGGGCGGTCAAAGCAGAACAGCAGAGTCACGTTCAGGAGGAGCGGAAGGTGCCCAGCCAGGCGGAGAGGGAGGTGGTCGCCGCTGCTCCGGTGGCTGTAGAAGAGCAGGAGGAGGACGAGGAGGAGGAAGAGGACGACGAGGAGGAGAGCAAGGTAAAGATACAAGGCTACGGGCAAGGGCGCTGCTGCCTTTAGGCCACGCCGCGTGGGGCTCTGCGCGCATCCGTCGAGGCACGCGGGGACGACGCGCATCCGTCGAGGCACGCGGGGATGCGTGGAGGGAGAGGACAAGCGCGCTCGATCTGTCCAAACGAATTCTCCAAGCCAGCCGCTCCGGTAAAAAGTCCTGGGATTGGACGGTAGTTGGCGGAGATGCCCTTCGACAGCCCAGTAGATCTCCCCTATCTTAATTAATTGCCTTTAGGACTTTGCGGAACCTGCACCACCTTGCACGTGCCTTTTGCGTCAGAGTGGGAAGGGAGGTGGGGAGCGAGGCTGAGTATCAGTTTTAATTCCAGCCTTGCTTACTACCTTGCTCTGTCTCGGTAGATCCCAACTACCAAACAGCCCCCTCAAATGTGTCCATTCCTTTCCTCCTCCCCCCACGGTCACCATTTGATGTAACCGGCTCCGGAAACCCACCTGTTGCTTCACGGAATGTGAGCAGGGAATGCTCTAAAAGTGGCTGGTTTGTGAAATCCTCATTGCCACCCACCTCCGTTTGAAAAAATAACGAGGTACAACTTAGTAGAGTTGACGTGGCTGTTATTAGCATGGCTCTGTGTATATAATGGAAGAAATATGCATCCCCAGTAATGTGTTTTGCTTGTGCTGATTTCTGTGAATCCTGCTTTAGGAGGAACCTAGATTTTTCTGCCTTCGGCCTAAATTGCAGAAAGGAAAAAAGGACTTGCACTCTCCCTTCTTTCTCCTTTTGGCATAGTTTTCAGTGAAATCCCCTCTGATGGCCCCTTCTGGCTTTGAGAAATTACATCTCCCTGCTGCAGTTAATATTTTTTCTCATAGTCTAGGGAGTGAGAGACAACCCTCTTTCCCCAGAAATGTGCCCTTGCTTAGCATTTGGCAACAGCATTCAAAAAAAGGCTACCAAACATCTACGCGCCACTCTGATTTGTAACCAGCTAAAAAGAAACTAGCAATCCTTAAAGGGAGAAAGAAAAAGAGTGCCTTGCCCACGCAGCAGAATGCTAGATTTGCCATGGTTTAAGAATGGAAGTTGTACTTGCCCCAGCTCAAGAAAGCACCAGACATCAGGCTTTTGCCATTTCTATCCTAAATGTGCTTGGGTGGCCTCAAATCAGAAATCTGGTAGCACCTTTCTTGACTAACTCATTTTATTAAAAGACATAAGCTTTTGTGAGCTGCAGCTCCCTTCATCAGATGCATAAAGCGGCTAGACTGATGTCAGGATGTAATTTCATTTAAATTTAAATTTGTTAGAAAAGATGGTACCAGATTCTTTTTTTCTTTTCTTTTTTTGCCACCATAGAGTAATGCGGCTCTCTTTCTGCAGTATCTCCAACTTGGGTGACTTGAACAGTTTAGTTCTCTTTGTATCTTTAAGGAAGGCTGGAATTTTGTTTTAAAAGGAGCAGTAGACATATTCATGGCTTTGGTATTAACAATTCTAGACACTCGAGATGGTTACAAGTTAAGAATTCAGAAAATCAGGATACCTTTTTAAAAAATAGTGATATGGCTCTTAAATAGAGGTGTGAGAAGCTGAAGCATCCTAGGAGTATAATCCCTCAGATTGGTCTCAGAGATGTAGTATCGACTGATTCAATAGGCTCCTTTATACAAGTTCAGACGAATTCTCATCCCTCCCCACTTAATTTACATGTTTCTGGATTTGCACTGAAAGTGCATTTTTTTGCTAGTTCAAATCCTGACAAGTGTTACAGTGTGCAATTCTTCTCTTCAAAATGCCAGCCTTGCCCTTTCCAGAATGTGCCATTTCTTTTCCCAAACCCTTAATTCTCTGTTTCGACAACAGCTTGCTCAATCTTTACTTTGGGTG